CGGCTCTAGAAATCTGGTTTTGGAATCTAAGTTAATAGCGTTTTTTTCCCCCAATATATGTAATTTTATTTAATTTTGACGTATGTGTCTGTGCACATGCACTCGGTGACCAGAAGAGGGCATCGGGTCTCCTGTAGCTGAAGTTGTAGGAGGTTGTGAATTCTCCATGAGGATTCTGGCAACTGAATTGTCTCCTTTGAAGAAACAGAAGTACTCTTAACTGCTGAGCCTCTAACCATTTTTAAAAAGTGTGGTTCTGTTAAAACTTAGTGATTGTGCCCCTAGTGTGTCCTCACACCTCCTTGTCATCTTGTCCCTGAGGTAAATATAGGTTGGGTTAAGAAACAAAAACTTGAGCCAGGTGATGATGGTCCATGCTTTAATCCCAGAACTTGGGAGGCAGAGGCAGGCAGATCTCTGAGTTCAAGGTCAGCCTGATCTGCAGAGTGAGTTCAGGACAGCCAGGGCTACATAGGGAAATCCTGTCTCAGAAAAAAACAAAAACAAAAAACCAACCAAACAACAACAACAAAAAAACCCAAAAATAAAAAAACAAAAACTTCATAAGTGGCGTGCCTCAGCAGGTGATCAGAAATGCCCATTATTTATGTTAGAGACCTGTCAGGAATCCTTCTCTAACATTATTATAAGAAATAGGTCTTGCTGGCTTGTTCAGGCTGCCTTTGAAGACTGTGCCTCACGTGGCCAGCTGCCGACCTCCCATGTGTCCCTTTATACATTCTCTGCTCCTTTAAGAAAACATGGCGTTGGTCCTTTGGCCACACGTGCAGTTTTGCAGGAGGGGTGTTACTGTGGACTCTTCAGAAAGGAACAGCCCACAAAGGTCACCGTGGCAAAATTGGAAGAGTCTACACGGTCACCCGGTATGCTGTTGACAATGCTGTCAACAAACCAAGTTAAGGGCAAGATTGTGGCCCAGAGAATTAACATGCAAATTGAGCACATGAAGGAGTCAGAGCTGCAATGCTTCCAAGCATGGCGGGAGGAAGAAGGAAGGGAGGAGAAGGTGCCTGCCTGGGTTTAGCTGCAGCAGCTCCCTCTGCCCAGGCCAGGAGAGGCACACCCTGAGAACCAGTGGGAAGACCCCATGACGGTGGAAGCCGTGTTCCCTGTGAACCAGCGACTGAGAGACACAGGAGAAGGGAGCACCAGACTGTGCCCGTGCTTTTCTTATTAAATGGAACTGGTTTGTTCCCCCTGCCCCCAAAATCATCATAGGATGAAAGATAATTGGAGTCGGTTTTTACCTTGTCTGTATGGGGGCAGTGCATGCTGATTTATTTGACAAGAGTTTCAGAACTGTATCTTGCCAGCAGAGGTTTTATTTTTGAGACAGTCTCATTTTATAGCCCACCTAGAACCCTCAGACGTCTTGCTGCCTCAGCCTCCTGAGTCCTGGGAGTTTGCGAGGTGCTGTGCCCTGCATGTGAGCAGAGCTTTAACAGTACTTCGTGACTAGGACTGGTTCCCATGGGTTGTAGGAAGGGCATCACAAGTGTCCCAGCCAGAGGAAGGTGGGCTGTGGCCGCAGGCTGCTACAAGCCCTTCTCCTGAGGACTGCAGTTGATTTCCTAACGATGAACATGAAAATGCCATAGGGATGCTTCATGCCCAGAGCTATGGTCCCCACTGAATGGATGGTGTCATGGGGTTTCCACGCCAGTGTCAGACCTGTTAAGGACCTTGATGACTCAATTTGTGATCCTCCTCTTCCCCTTTCCTTGAGGATCTGAGTATGTGGCCCCGGCTGTCCTTGAATTTGTTGGTTCTGATTTTTGCCTCCCTCCCAAGGACTGGGATCGGGAGGTCACCATCCCCGATCCGCCCTCCTCCGCTCTCTTCTTCCTTCTCACCAGCATCTTCTCTCTCCCCCCTCCTCCTCATCTCCTTTGTAGTCACCCTAACACGCATGGAAGACTCAGTGTGTGGAACGCTCACATCAAATCCTGTAGTCAGATTCAGATACAGCTGTGATAAAGGTGAGCCGTGGTTCTGAGTTCGAGGCCAGCCTAGCCTGGTCTACAGAGCTAGTTCTAGGATAGCCAAGACTACACTAAGAAACCCTGTCTTGAAAAACCAAATAAATAAATAAATAAATAAAATTAAAAAAGGTGAGCCATGGAAAGTCTTTGGCCTCAGGTTTCCTAACTATGGAAGAGGGACAGGCACAGCTAACCCAGGGAGCATGGCATTCATTCGGAGTCCCTGTGAAAGCCCTCGGGTGTGGTGCTCTGCTCAATGCTGGTGTCATCATGCCTCCCTCCCAGTCTTTGCGGCCTTGTGACCCATTCCTTTGGGCAGATGTGTATTTTCAAGGCTCCCAAGCAGTAGACTAATTTCAACATGCTCATGTAGAGAACGTGTTATTAAACAGTGTACTCCCCAGCATCCTGAACACACCTTACGAGTTCAGGCTCTTGGACCAGAACATGCTGTTCCCTCCACATAGAATGCCTTTCTACTGGACTAGTTTGTCCTCCTTGAGCCAGGAGCTCCTGAGGGCTTGTGGGGGGAGGTGCCTCCTGTGGTTGGTCCATGCCTCCCTCCACTCCATCTTCCTCCCGTTAACACTCGAGTCTGCTCTCTCCTCTCATTTTATGTACCTGCTCTTCCGCCGTCAGTCTGCCTGCTACAGCCAATCACTGAGCCGATTCCTGCTCAGTCTTTGGACCTACCTGCTGGTCCCTTTCCCTGGACAGCTCTTCAGACTTCCTCATGATTAATTCTTTCCACTTTCATATCCGTAGCATTCATGGTACGTGGTGGCCATGCATATCATCACAGCTCGTGGGAAGGAGGCAGAAGCAGGAACATAGTTCAAGGCCAGCCTGGGATACAGATTCAAATCCTGCCTCAAAATAAAATACAGATGCCAGGAGAGAGCAAGAGAGAGCCGCACTGCTTCCTATGTTAAAGCCTTCCTTCGCTCTGAGGGAACAATATTTGGTGCATGTCCCTCAGTGTTTCAGCAGGGTCTGCCATCTGGTTGGTACTGGGAGAGTGTATGTCGAATGAATGAGCTTTGTGTTTTCCTCTGTTATTGCACTTAGGCTGGGTTAGAATAATTTGCTTACACTTCCCACCACCCCACTGACTGGAACTGCCTCAGGGGAACGACTCGAGGTGTTTATCTTGCAGTGTATGGCTGCTGTGGAGCGGTGATTCTTGACTATAAAGATGGACGTTAGGCTGTGGAAGGTGCATCTGAAACTCTCGATCTTTGCATGGAGGCAGCCTGCCTGCAGGTGTCCTTCTGACGTCACCAGTAGACGTGCCAGTGGGAACAGGCTGTGGTTGGTCTGACGTTTCCAAGGCTGGTCTCTGAAGTCCTGCACTGCCATGGGGGACTTGCCTCATTTGTGACTGCTGCTGGCCCTCCAAGATGGATGTGGGGAAAGGCATAGCATATGCCACGCTCAAGAGCTGTACTCAGGTTCAGGGCTTTAAAGCTGACCTCTTGCACCCTGGAGAGAGGGCTCAGTTATAACTGAAGGCAGGTCCTGCTCTTCCATAGGCCCTGCCTTCAGTTCCTAGCACCCACACAGTGGCTGGCAAAGGTTTGTAACTCCAGTTCCAGGGAATCTTATACCCTCTTCTAGCCTTCATGGGCATGCACAGGCATACATTTGGTGCACAGATATGCATGTAGACAAAACACTTTACTATGCATAAAAACAATATAAATAAATCTTTTTTAAAAGTTTAAGAAAAAAAAAAAAAAAAGGAAAGAAAACCCAAAACCTCAAACTAACTTTTTGGCATTCAACTTGTCTCCTGTACTGTACCCACGATGGGCTCCAAGTTTAGATCTTTGTCCCAGTGTCCCACAAACCAGGTAGCACATTCTTCTTTTGCAAACAGCTCAGCCTGTTGACAAGACTCTCTGGTGACAGCACACTTCTGAAAACCTGCCCTGGGTTGCAAGGCCAGGCATCCTTGTGTTCAGAATCCAAAACTACACAAAGAAGCAAGGACAGAGCTCTCTGTCGCTTCTTTATCTAAGTCTATGATAAGTTTGGAAGAAAGAGAGAGAGAAAAAAGAACTCTGCTGAGCAAGTTCTCTGTCCCTGAGGTGGTGCCGACCTGTACCAGCTCCCCTTATTGTCAAGAATGTATGCTGTTTCAATGGGTGCCTTTTGATTGGTCACCACTGGCAGGTCAATTTAGCGTTAATTTCCTACATGGAGTACGTATGTGAACAAGTTACTTCTCTGTTCCTTTCCATAGCCCTGCTCTTGGTCATTCCCGGTTCCCCTGATTGCAGGAGTCCCTTACACACTAAAACATGCAGAATCTCAAGTCCCTTTCTATAAAGTGGTATAATGTTCATGGAACTTGGGTAGATCTTCACGTACTTCCAGTTATCTCTAGGTTCCTTATAACACCTAATGTAATAGAAATGCTACGTAAGTAGTTACATTATTTAGGGAATAATTACTCAAAAAGGCTGTACATGTTTCGTACAGACAAGTTTGTTTTGTCTTGTCTTGCTTTTTTTGTGCTGAGATAGTATCTCACCGTAGAGTACAAACTACCCTTGAAATGTTGATCCACCCGTTCTCACTGTCCCAGAGCCAGGAGGCAGGGGTTTTGTTGTTGTTTGGTATTGTTTGGTGTGTCTTAAATGTTTAAAGGTTATTTATATTTTTATTCATGTGTATGGCTGTCCGTGAGTGTACGCATGTATGTCATATGTGTGCAGGAGCTTACGGAGGCCCTGGGTTCCCTGAACTGGAGTTTATAGGCAGTTGTGAGCCACTGTATGTGAGTTCTGGAGATCAGATTCAGGGCTCTGAACCACTGAACCATCTTTCTAGCTCCTAAAACTATTTTTAGACCATAGGATCTGTGGATAAGGAAGGCTAGCAGGACTTAGTAAGTTACAACTAATTACCAAATAATTTTACGTGGCCGCCGGAAGGAGTACGTACGTACCCCGGTGCCGTCCTCCTTGTGTGGGAGAGAGGGAGGAAAGAAAAGCTGTTGAAGTGCTGTGAGTCCAGACTCTCTTTGTGCCTCACAAGTAGTGCTTTTCAGAGCGCTTGGCGTCCCTGCTGTATGGCTGTGTCACTGTGAGATGACAACAGGATTTGCTGGGAATGTGGGCCACTATTGTATCCGCCTTACGTAACCACGTGGAGTGCTGGAAATGGGTGAGCAGCCTGGGAGGTAGGCAGTGGCCAGCCCTGACTCTGCGGAGCCATGAAGGCCGCTCAGCTATTCCAGAGGGTGTGGATCCAGACATTTAAAAAGTTGGAGAGATGGAAAGGCCATGTGAGTTCTTCAGCTTTCGCCTCCCTTTCCCATGCTTTCTCTGCCGGAGGGGAGGGGGACAAGCCCTTCACACAGTGGCACAGTGACTCCTTTATCCTCGGATTTATTTGTGTCTTGGCAGCTTTCAGGGACAAATTGTGAGATTGCATGCAGAATGTGGCTTGCAGTCAATGGTAGAATTTTAAATACTTGTCTTATTTTGAGCAGACCTGGGTGAAATTGATAGCCGCTCACTGGGTTTGTGAGTCAGACTGTTGATTCCTAGGTGTTGGCAATTTTGGCGAGCTTGGCTTCTTGGGTACAGATTAAAGAATGTTGTGTTTGGGATCAAACATTTGACCTTCTTACCCTGTAGAAGCCGATATTCCGATGATGGGGCTTCCACATTGCAGGAGAGATTTCTGACATTAGCTTTAGTACACAGTGCACTGTAACATAGATATTTGCTGTGTGGCTTGGACTGTGATTAAGTGTATCCTTAAAGCAGCTTGGGGTGAATTTTTGTTCTTAGTGGTCTCTCTCCCTGGGAATCAGCAGTATATAGATGCGGAGCTTAAAAGTTGGCTCTTCAGGGTCACTACAGGCAGTCACAACTTAGTTATCTGCCTGTGGCTGGTTTTAAATGTTTCCTTTTGTGTGTATTGGGAGACGGAGCGCACATGTGTATTAAAGGGCCTTATATAGAGAGTCCAGGGGTCAGTCTTGGGTGTCATTCTTCAGGAGCTGGTTTTGAGACAGGGTCTCATAGAGCCTGGTGCTTGCCAAGTCTGCTAGACTGGCTAGCCAACAGGTCCCCTCCTGTCTTCCCCTCCCCAGGGCTGGGGTGACTGGGTGTTTTTACCTAGGCGCTAGGGACTGAACTCAGGTCCTCATGTTAATGGCAAGTACTTCTACCTACGGAAGTACCTTCCTAGCCCTAAAGGATAGTTATCTGTTTGATCAAGGTTTTCCCGAGAAAATGAGCTCCATAAAAGGCCTAAAAATAACAGCATGAAGAACTGTTTTCCTTTAGTGTCTAAATAACCTGTACACAGAGCTTCCTATTTGCAATAGGCCACATAGCTCCTACCTATCCATGGAATGGCTTCTAGGAATGACTTGTTCTCATATGGAGGACGTTACCATTAGTGTGCCTTTTATGGGAAGTACAGTGATCCGAGAAGATCATAGAAAGCATGAGGAAGCCGCTTCAGGTGGCTGAAATCTCATCCCCAAGGTTGAAAAGGTGCCCTGGGCCCATAGGTGGAGTCCCGATCTCTGAGGAGATTGGAGTCGCCGGTCCTTCTGTGACATTCCCTGTTCAAGATTCTGTGCCACCTTCCTGTTCCTAATAAAGTTGCTTTTTAACCTTTAAAAAAGGAAGGAAAGGCGCTGGGGGGTCTGGCACATCCTGGGCTCTCCCACACGATGCTGGTCTCCGGCTGTACCCATTGCACCTGTCCTGCTTTTTGTCCTTGTACCCCTCACACTGATGGCACTGTCCCCACCTGCCTTCCCCCCAGCAGGAGTTGTTATGCTCTCTCCTTTTCCCCTTGCAAAACTGAAATCGTATTAAAACTTCGGGAACTAGACACTGCCTTGGATGTTAGGTCCTCAGCCGGAAGTCAAGCGCCCCTTGATGACCGACCCCTTGAACTTAGGAGATGATTGGTACCTCCAAACTGCTTGAACATTGAAAGCATGATGCAGAACAGTACCACGAATTCATTGCACTCTCCCATCCCCACCACGGGGCAAACCTCAGCTCCCCCGTGTTCCGTCTCTGCCTCCCTCCCAGGCTGCTCCATCTTCAGTTTATATGCTTCCGTCCTTTGCTTTTCCTTTGTACTTTTACCGTATATGGCATACCTACCCATGCACGTTTATCAGTGAACAAACCACGAGGGTTGTTAGCATTTTTAAATAAGTTACTATTTGTCTGTGTATGTGTGTGGGCCTGAAGGCCAGGGCATGACTTGTGGCGTCTGTTTTCTCCTTCAGCCGTTATGGCCGTCCAGGGAGTGAACTCAGGTACCAGATTAAGCTATTTCAGTAGCCCTCATGGCTTCTTGGGGGAGGGAGAGTCGGTTTTCTTCAGAGATGTGGCCCCTGAGAGGCTGTGCGTGCACTTGTCCTGTATCCATGCACGCACTGGTCACTGAATGGGCTCAGTGGGTTAAGTTAAAAAAAAAAAAAGCGCATGAAGTTGGAAGGGGAAAGTCGGGTAGGAAATAGGGGGCAAAAAGGAGGAGGATTTGATCAAAATGCATGCATTGGATGCATGTATGAAGTTCTAAATAAGTTTTAAACACATGTTTAATGTTACGTTAAACTCCTAACATTCATCATTTTAGCCATTTCTAAGTTCAGTATTGTTACGTGTTCACATTGTAAGGAGGCGTGGTTTGTTTTTCAAACTGCGTGTGAAAAAGATGTCACCCTCTTCAGATCGTCCTGGAGTGTTCCCCCCTTGAATTGTGTTGGAAGTGTCTGTTGTATGGTGTGTTTGGGGCCTGCTCCTTTCCGTTGTGTACCTTGTGTTTGTCCATTCTGTCCTGGAGGCCATTTGCAGGTGGCAGAGGGTTAGTTCTACTCAGGCCCCAGCGAAAACTGAAGGTGGCAAAGACGTCTGTGTCTGTGGAGAGGGAGTTTCTGCTTTCGTTTCTCTCGAGAAGACTTACGATTGAGATTGTGTTAAAATAGGGAAATACACCGGCAGCTGCTGAAAGATGGTCTTAGACGTAGTGAACTTCCAGAGTAGGACAGTGAAGCACGTCTAGAAAGCTGGACCACAGACATCTCAGGTGCCAGATTGCCTACCCACCTCAGGGGTGGAGGTGGAGGTGGGAGTGTGGCTCAGTGAGAGGGCATTTGCTGCTCATATTCCCTAGAACCTGCAAACAGCACCTGTATCTGTTACTTTTCTGTTGCTGTGATACAACACCGTGAGGAGGGCAGTTTGCAGAAGAAAGAGTTTATTTAGGCTTATGGTTCCAGAGGGGTGAGAGTCCTTCATGTCAGCCAGGCGGCAGGCATGGCTGCTGGAGGAGCTGGCCGAGAGCTCACATCTTGACTCTCACAAAGCAGAGAATAACCAGAAATGGCACTAATTTGTATGATTTGTATGATGCCTGCCTCCAGTGACATCCTAGACCAACTGGGGACCAAGTCTCCAAATATCAGAGCCTATGGGAATAGTTCTCATTCAAACCACCGGGACAGCCAGAGAACTGTTGAATTTAATAGGAATTGCCTTTGAAAACATTTACAAGTAATAGAAATTGTTGTCTTAGTCATAGTCATAGAATGGAGAATAGATAGTGCATCTATCTCTTGGTTTATTGGAAAGAAAAAAGCGACCACCTGTTTTGTATGCATGACATTGTGTTCTAGGAAACTGTGGGACAAAGGTGAGTCAGACATCAAAAGCTCACTTGAAAATCTTTCACCATCATCATTATTATTATCATCATCATCACCATCATCATTATTGAGACAGACGAGTCTCACTGTGCAGCCCTACCTGGCCTAGGGCTCACTATCTACAGTAGGCTGGTCTTGAACTCCACCTGCCTCTGTCACCCAGGTGCTGGGATTTCAGGTGTGCTCTACATGCATGGATTTTTTTTACTGAACCATTTAAAAAGATATGTATCAATTAATATACTTATAGAGACATTACCTTCCTTTCTTCCTTCTTCCCTTCCTTCTTTTCTTTTTGTGACAGAGTCTCACTCTGTAGACCAGGCTGGTCTGGAACTCACAGAGATCTGCCTGCCTCTGCCTCCCGAGTGCTGTGACTAAAGGCGTGGGCCATCATGACTGGCCAGCAGTCATTTATTAAAATAGAAAAACTGGGCTGGGGGTGTAACTCAGTGATAGAACATGTACCTCATACATGCAAGACTCTGGGTTTGACCCCAGCATGGCAAAAGAAAAGAGGAGCCCCTCCTAAAGAAACTCCAAACAGAAACAAAATAAAAACAGTGGTTGGTCATGGGAAACAGACAGTCTGCGGGGAGGGGGGGGGAGGCTGGGTTCCATAATTTCTCCATCTGAATCCGTTGGGAATGTTTGTGTATTGCTTTGAGTGGATGCATGCACCTTCTTCACTTCAGCACCCCGCCACCCCCACCACCCCTCCCAGGCCCACGCACACCAATAGCCAAGACTCTGCCTGCTTCTCCTACACCCTTGTATCTTTTTGATCCTAGATATAATGTGAGTTGTCGTTTTTTAATCTTTGAGAATTCTGATCTCTTGGAGCCAGATGGTATTTGCCGTGGGAATGTCCCAGAATCGAGCACACGGGGAGGGAGAGTCGCAGTTGCCTCTCAGTCTGTGTAATCAGTTAAGTCACAACAGTTGGCTACTTCATGTTGCTTCTGTGCCCACAGAATTGTGGTTTCCTAACTCTGCTTGCAGAGGGAGTGGGTCATCTGGTCCAGCGTATCAGTTGGTATCGTCGTCTCTAGCGCTGAGCGTCTCTCTCCCAGTCTTAAGAGTTTGTGAACAGGGAGAAAACCCCACATTATCTGAATAGTTTTCAGTACCTCTTCGTCTTTCTATTATCAGTTCGAATTAGTCCCCTGCAGCTTCTCCCTCCTGGCCCTCTGTGGGACACCTCCTACCCGTCAGGCCTTGTGCTGTTTCTGAGTTGTGTCTTCATGGCTGCTTCTTCTGTAATTGTCTTCTTCAGCTGCGTATATATAGTGTGAGATGCTAACCCGTCACTTGCGTCACTTTGGTTCTTTTCACTTCCAAAAGTCATATTTTAGATTTGTTTGCTTGGTTCTTTTGATGGGCTATTGTTCATTGATAACTGTACTTTGGAGCTTGTCCTGGAACTCACTTTGTAGACCAGGCTGGCCTCGAACTCACAGAGATCCGCCTGCCTCTGCCTCCTGAGTGCTGGGATTAAAGGCGTGCGCCACCACCGCCCGTCGCAATAACTATACTTTCAGTGAGGTGTTCTAATTTCTTAAAACACGAATTATGGTTTGTATACTCCTTTGGTTTGTTATGGATGTTTCTAATATAGCCATTGATCCTCAGGTTGTTTCTTATAACTCTCTCTCTCTCTCTCTCTCTCTCTCTCTCTCTCTCTCTCTCTCTCTCTCTGTGTGTGTGTGTGTGTGTGTGTGTGTGTGTGTACATGCGTGAGTGCATGTGAACTATGAACTTAGGTTTCTTACATATCTGGGAATTCTGTGAAGCCTTCATTTAAACATGTCCCTTGGAGAGAGGAACCTTGCATTTCCTATGTGATGGCATTACCAGCGACACTTTGGCATGTTTTGGGAGGATGTACAGTCACTTTCCGTAATAGGACTCATTTCTAAACCTGAATGCAGGCCCATTGATAGGAATTCTCCAGAGTGGCAATTTCTAGCTATTTCCACAATATTCGTGAGCCGGGCAAGAGTCTCTGGAGTCCTCTGTGGAAGTATTTTTTCCCTCTACTGTGCCCACTCTGTTCTCCCATTCGTTTACATCTTGTACTTTTCTCTGTGTATCTTCCCGTTTCAGTGCTTGCTAGGCTGGCCTGTCTGTAGCTCTGTGCTCTCGTGAGGTCTCTAGCCTTTTTAAAGGTGAACGGCTCATTAGTCTTAAAGTGACGCCACTGTGTTAAAGGTCTCCCTGGATATCTCTTAGACCTGTGTTAGCAGATGAAGTTCCAGTGGTCTGTTTTACACCAAGCGGTACTGAGAAGAAGCCAGAGATCCTACAGTTCGTTCACTCAGTATGACACATCCTATTGATTACAAGGCCAAGGGGTTCTTTAGGTTTAAGATGTGGAGAGAGAGAGAGAGAGAGAGAGAGAGAGAGAGAGAGAGAGAGAGAGAGATATGAATATTTTTAAATGAAATTAAAATTTTACTCTATTTTCTTGAGAGGGTGTGTGTGTGTGTGTGTGTGTGTGTGTGTGTGTGTGTGTGTGTGTGTGTGTGTGTGTTCATGAGTCCATGCTCATTATGCTCACTAGGTACATATATGGAGGTCAGAGGACACTGTTAGGACTTGGTTCTCTTTTTCCACTCTGTGGGTCCTCCGGATTAGACTGGGCAACAAGCACCCTACTGCTGAGCCATCCCCCAAATAAGACATTATTAAAGAAGTTTCCTAACAATGGTTGTCAAAAGGCTTCAGCACTGAACATTTGCTCTGTTCTTAGGACCCCTCCTATGTCTTTCATTTAATGCCTGAGCATCAAGATGGCCATTTCCTAGAAGGTTTTATATGGATATAAGCAGCATAGCATTTTGAGCAGAGGCCTGCTTTTTTTTTAAGTGAATGGGAAGTGTGCGCTGGATTCACGTCAGAGCGTGCAGAGTTAGTTTTATTTCTGGCATGGGGGTATTTGGTGTTTACTCAAGTTGACATTATTTGTTGCCACCCAGGGCCCAGGCATGGAGGAGGTGATATGGGAGCAGTACACCGTGACCCTGCAGAAGGTGAGTTCTGCACGATCCGTGCTTTCTCTCTCCTCTTGGCTTGCTGCTTTTCAGTTCATGGATCTCGCTTCTTTTGGCCTGCACAGTTTTGTTTTTAATCTCGCTGAGGTGGGCAGTGCCTCGTTGGAACTAGCTGGTACTGATTAACTGGTTGGCAAAAGTTGCATGCTTGTGTTCTTGATTATCTTCTGTTTACTGTAGAGCATTTTAGGGGATATTTAGTCCGTTCTCTTCTCTCCAGACAGAACAGACTGTAAAAGGGAAGAGGGAATGCAAGCAGCCTGTATTTGTTTGAGAATGTTGAAGTAACATTTCCCAACATGCACAACCACACCACCCTCCTTAGCCTCTCTATCCCACTTTCCCTTCTGATGTTTGAGTTGGGAATTGAATTTCTACAGTCTGGTCTCACATGTTAAGAATGCAAGGAGCCCTTGGTTCAGTCCCCCGAGCGGTACCCTCTCCTCACCCCTTCTGTAATTCTACCTTACAACAGTTGTAGACCCAAAGGAGATTTGAAAAGACTGACTTAGAAATTGGCTCAGTTCCAAATATAGTGTGTATGTCTGTGTGTGCCTGTCTGTCTGCTTATGGAGATCAAAAGTAAACCCTAGGTATTTTTCCCTAAGGTGTCTTTTATTTTACTTTTTGAGATGGGATCTCAAAATCATGGGGGCCTGAGATGGATCCCTGGCACCTTTTAAACACCGAGCCTTGGTGGTACATGCTCACAGTTCCAGGCCTGAGAAGGCAGAGATAGGCGGATCCCTGGAGTTTGCTGGCCGACCAGCCAATTCCACTTAGTAAGCTCCAGGCCTGTGAGAGACATTGTCTCAAAAACCAAGATGCCCCCCCCACCCCCCGGGGTGGTGGTGCACACCTTTAATCCCAGCACTCAGGAGGCAGAGGCAGGCGGATCTCTGTGAGTTCGAGGCTAGCCTGCGCTACAGAGTGAAACCCTGTCTCGGAAAACAAAAACAAAGAAACAAAAAACCAAAAACCAAGATGGGTGGTGCCTGAAGAATAACACCTAAGATTGTCCTCTGGCTTCCATGTGCACATGAATGTGTGTGCGCGCGCACACACACACACACACACACACACACACACACACACTCTTCCCCCACACACTTCCCCCACAGTGTACACCCACCACTACCCCACAACACAAAAAAGTTTCTCTTTACTCCTCCCTTGGGGTTGAAAATTGAACACTACATATATTTTATTTGTTTTTTAAAGTCGCTTCACAGATGTTACCCCTCTTGATTAAGTGAGGAAATACATGCAGCTTCTATACATTACATGATGCATAATTGATGCGTAACAAATACTTGTTATTGCCAGTTCTTTCTGTCCTGACAATAAAAGGGTGATGTGTTAGCCTTTTTGGTTGGGCTGACTGCTCTAGAACTGCACCTAATCTCCAGTCATGCCCCCCCCTTCCTCCGCCACACACAGCGTCATGCTCCAGGCAAGCAGCTATCCCCCACCCCATCTGCAGTCAGCTCATGGTCTGCAGTCTCATCCCAGCAACCTGCCCTCCTGTCAACATCCGTGTGCATCAGAGATCATCTTGCTCCAAATCTCTCTAGGTTCTGCCATTTTCTAGACAAAGGGAAACGTCTCCCTTGACCCTCAGAACTCCGTCCCTGGGTCAGAGTCCAGGTGTCCTGATTTCTGTATCAGTTATCACGGATTCTTCAGTTGAGGCTTGTCCGTTTAGCTTCAGACACCCTTCTGACTCTTACTGTGCCCCCTTTACCAGCATATCACACAACCCTTGAGTTATGGTCCCGAGGCTTGGTTTAGAAGATGGAGCCGCCTCTGTCTAAAACCAGGTGCTGGTGATGGTGCTGGCATATCCCAGGCCATGTGGAGACCACCTGGGCTGTCTGTGTTTGTAAGCAGTCTGAATACTGGCCACCCACGAACTTGCCCTTGAATAAAGATGTTCTCTTATTCTGAGTGTAGTTTTGTATCATCAACCCTGATTTGGGATTATAATGTCAGTGTTCCTATTGTGTGGTTTAGCCTTTTAAACACCTAAATAAGAGTGTTTGTTTCCTTGGTTCATTGGTGTGCATCGTTAAATCAGTGATGGATAATAAACCTTTATTTCCCATCTTGTATGCCACTGAGAAGGGTTTAATGCTTTGCTCTTTTTAAATCGCAATAGTAGCTTTTTGTTTATTTATCTTATTACGTTTTTTTTCATTCACGTGTGTGCATCCATGTACACATGTGCACACTCTCGTACCTTCATGCCACAGCACTGGGTGAGGTCAGAGGACGTGGAGGAGTGATTTATTTTCACCATGACTGCAAGTTCCTTTATCCACTGAGCCATCCCCCCAGGCTCCTTTTCCCATTGGACTATCTCCCCAGCCCTATAATAGCAGCTTTCTGTTTAGGTTTTATTTTTAAAGGCCATGCAGTTCTTTTTACCCTGGATGAAAATGCATTTGCTACCTTTTCCAACTTGAATTTAAAGATTATACCATCATGCTATTTGTTTTTTGAGTAAGGGTCTCATGTAGTCCAGGCTAGCCTCCCAATTTGCCATGTCATCATGGCTAGCCTTGGATTCCTGACGCTGTTGCCTCCCACCTCCCAAGTGCTGGAATTATAGGCATGTGCCACTTTCAGCAGAAGATACATTTAAAACACATTTTCACAGAGTCAGTTTGTATTGACGTTGTTCCAGCTCGGGTCAAACGATCCTGTGAACAGGTCTACCTGGCGTTAGGACAGCACGTTCCTGTTTAGACAGAAGACAGCCTTCCTTCTCCTGCCTCTGGTGATAATGTCAGCCTGGGCTGTCAATCTTTTCCGCCTCCTGCCAGGCTGCTCCCTGTAGATAAGCAGTTTCCCTTTAGGAACCTGTCAGCTGACCACAGTGGGGCTCTATTTTCTTTGTCATTTGTTTCTGTCAGCCCATCTGTCCCCGAGCTGTCTCTGGTTATTGATTTGACCTTTATTTTACTGAGTGCTTGTAATAAATCCTGAAAGCCACTTATGGAAGGATTTTTTCATTTTTTTTCTTCTTCTCTCCTAATTCTAATCAACAGGATTCCAAAAGAGGATTTGGAATCGCAGTGTCGGGAGGTAGAGACAACCCACACTTTGAAAACGGGGAAACGTCCATTGTCATTTCTGATGTGCTCCCAGGTGGACCCGCGGATGGCTTGCTTCAGTAAGTGCCCTCACCCCCTCCCCAGCCCCTGCCAGCCCTGCAGGTTGGCACTAGACAGGGTGTTAATGATGGCTGTGTACTTTTATATTACATCTGAAGACTTTAAGAGAGAGTTAGGATCACAGCTAATACATTATGTTTTAACAGTCACCAATTCTCCACTGCCTGCGTGCTGGGTTTGCACACCCAGTTTATGCAGTGCTGGGGGCTGGACCCGGTGCGTCATCCATGCTAGAGAAGTATTCCAACCGAGCTGCGTCCTCAGTCCTTGGGAACCCTTTCTGAACGTGCAGCGTATGTCATTGTAACAAAAGAGTCGGGAAAATAACCTAAGGGAAGCACTTATTTATTTTGGCTCACACTTTCAGAGGTTGGTTTTATCTGTCGTGGTTGGGAGAATGTGGTAGAGCAGGAGAGCTAACAGCGTGGTTGCCGGGAAGCAGAGAGAGGAAGATGGAGACAGTACCTGCCCTTCCTGGCTTTCTCCTTCATTTCCTCAAGCACAAGAATGGGGTCACCCACCCTCAGGGTGGGTCTACCCCCTTAATTCTCTTGAAAACATCCCCACGAACACACCTGAGAGTGAGCTTTGCTAATCTTCTCAGTGCTTGTCAGTACCACCAAGTTGACAGAATTGACCACCTCAGTTTCCACATTTCTCAGCGTCTTCCAAGAGTTTTCTTTAAATATATGTTTTGAAATTTAACTAAGATGTTAGGAATGTGTCTCAGTAATAGAGTACTTAGCATAGATAAGGCCTTGGGTTAATCTTTAGCAGTCCCTCCCCCCAAGTAAAAACCCAACTAACAACCCCCCAACAGAATTTAATAGCGGAAAAATTCATGACGGGTTAACTCAAGTTCTCTACCTGCCAGCCTTCTGTTCTGAAGAGGTAACTGCACTTTCAAAGATGGACCCTGCGTCTTGTCAGGGAATAATCTGGAGATAACGATGTGGCTACATTGGCCAGATCATTCAAAAGTTGAATTTGTGTGAGATTTAAAAATCTCTGCTCCTATCCTATTAGTTAGTAGTCTTATCAATTAAAAGTTAGTCTTTTATTTAGAGTAATATAAAATTTTAAAATAACTTTGGATGAGCCTAAGTGATAGGATTCTGTGTTCTTAATTTTTCTTTAAGAATCTGAGGGAAGCTGGGTGGTAGCACCAGGCAGAGGCAGGTGGGTCTCTGTGAGTCTGAGGCCAGCCTGGTCTACAGAGTGAGTTCCAGGGCAGCCAGGGCTACACAGAGAAACACCGTTTTCACAAACAGACAGACAGACAGGCATACAAACAGACAAACAAACAAGAATCTGAGGGAGAAGAAGTCAGGCCCGATTGTGCTCATTTATAATGTAAGCATTCGGGAGACACAGAAGGATCAGTAGTTTAAGGCCTTGGTTTGCTAAATAGTGAATTCAAGACCAACTTGGGCTACATAAGACCCTTCTCAGAAATTAAAAAAAAAAAAATAAAGAATCTGAGGCAAGTTTCAGCCTCTTTCCCTCTAACACAGATGAATGTGTGCCTATTTCAGGGACGTACATGTGTTCTTTTTTTTTAGCTCACTGTGTACTTCCGCACATAGGACTGTCATTGAATTCTTCTTGCTTTCCAGACTGCCTCGTGACTGGGTGCCTTCTGGTGCGACCCTGTGGTCCGGACAGTTTTTTTTGTTTTGTTTTGTTTTTGGAGACAGGGTTTCTCTGTGTAGCTTTGCGCCTTTTCTGGATCCGCCTGCCTCTGCCTCCCAAGTGCTGGGATTAAAGGCGTGCGCCAGCACCGCCCAGCTCCGGACAGGTTTTTTACACATACATAGTGGTTCTTAGTAAACCCCCAGAAGCTGACTGTATGGCTTCTGGTTCCTTACCTCTGAAGAGCTCAGACCAGGTTGGCCTGACTTGGGAGCCGCCACACACTGGGGCCCTTAATAAGCTTTGGAGGCTCATTACTGCTTCTGTTCTCTGTCAGCGGTTCAAGATGTCTCACCACGAGTTTTTATGACTGATGTTTATTTCTTGCTTACAGAGAAAATGACAGGGTGGTCATGGTCAATGGCACCCCCATGGAGGATGTGCTCCATTCCTTTGCAGTTCAGCAGCTTAGGAAAAGTGGGAAGATCGCCGCCATTGTAAGTCCCGTGATGTCACGTGGTGCACATCTGTACATCCAAGACAAACATCGTGCACATCTGTACATGCAAACCAAATGTCCTTACACATAAACTGTAAATTTAAAAATCTTTTAAGAAGTGTAAGAATATTTTCTGTTTATTGGAACATAAAGAAGGGCTGGAGAAATGGTTCTGTGGTTAAGAGCCCATATTGTTATTGCAGAGAACCTGATTTTAATTCAAGAACGTTTGTTTTCTATTCCCAAAGAAAATGACCATTGGACAGTTACCTGACCTAGAGCCAGCTTACTTCTTGGAGCTTCGATATTTTTCTAGGTTGATGTTTCAGGTGTAGTGAAGCTGTGTCCGAGTTCCCCTCCTGAGGAAGGTGGCAAGCATCCTACTTGATGACTGCCACACGCACGTCTCAGGAATAGGGCCATCCCGTTAACGAATCTAAGGAAAGCAGTAGCTGCAGAGCTGGCCTGGGATAAGTGCACTCGCTGTAATTGATTGTCTCTGCAGTCCTGTTTCGTCTAGAAGGGGTACCTCTTCCCCTCCTCTTCCTGTACCAAGGGCAGGAGTGTCAGCGATTGTATACAAAACATCTCACTTCCTGGGTTTTCATTTGACTCCGATGAACTGACCCACGCCTTTGGGGCTTTTCACACTTGGTCAGGAGTATTCCAAAGCACTGCACTCATAGCTGTAGTCACTTTCCTATCTTATTCTAACTTCCTGAGGGTTTTTTAATTGTCCTTGGTTCCTGATTGGAACCCTGGGGCTGGGAGGGTTGGCAGGGATACAGATGTTTAAGGGATGTAGGTTTTTTGTATGTAGGTCATATATATATGACCCGCCCACTCCCTCCCACACGTGGAAGTCTAGAGAGGGACAGTTTCATTGAAGCTGGAACCAGGGCCATCGCCGTCCCGGTTCTCTCCGTTTGCACTGTCCTGCATCTACTCTGTTTGTCTGGACAGGTGGTCAAGAGGCCCCGGAAGGTTCAGGTGGCCCCGCTGCAGGGCAGCCCCCCTCTCAGTCACGATGACCGAGGTTTTGAGGTGATAGATGAATTTGATGGCAGAAGTTTCCGCAGCGGCTACAGCGAGAGGAGCCGGCACAGCAGCCACGATGTGCTCAGCCACAGCTGGGAAGACAGCAGGGAGAGGGGGCGCCCCCAGCAGCGCACGCAGAGCCGCGAGCGGGAGCGCAGCCGTGGCCGGAGCCTAGAACGTGGCCTGGACCACGAAGACTATGGGCGCAGCCGGGAGCGCAGCCGTGGCCGGAGTCTGGAACGTGGCCTGGACCGCGATTTTGTGCCCCGGGACCACAGCCGTGGCCGCAGCATCGACAGGGACTACGACCGAGACTATGAGCGCACCTATCACCAATCCTATGAGCCTGACTATGAGGGCGGCTACAGCTCATCATATGACCGCAGAGCCCAGCCGGAGCGCCGCTATGAGCGCAGTCACAGCCGCGAACACCTACGTTCCCGGAGCCCCAGTCCTGAGCCTAGGTCCCGGCAGGAGCACAAGCATGATCCAGACAGGCCCATCGGGGTCCTTCTCACCAAAAGCAAAGCAAATGAAGGTAGGCACACATGATGTGGGAATACAAGCAGTGCCGCCAACATCACCTTGGCGCTCGCTCGGCACCTGGTGTTCTGAACCCGCAATACCTGGGGGCTCATTTAGTTCTCAGAGCCACATTATGGGGGCGTTACTCTTGGGTCCTTGTTCTGTGGTAAGGAGACGAGTCGCAGAAAAGTCCACTGATCTGGACGCGGGTGTCTCAGTGGCTTTGCTTCAGAGAAGTAGCTCACCCGTACTCTTGTTACATTGAAGATTCCCAGCCTCTCACCTGCCCTGGGAACCAGAAATTATAGAGTCTGAGTGTGAACAGGCTCAGCTGGCGAGCTTGGCGCTTCTCTGGGTGAAAACTCAAAGCAGAAGGCTGTACCCCAGCTCATCTAGATGGGAGTTCTATTCTAGGCCAGGGGTGGTGTTGAGTAAATAGTCTTAGTTAATCCCCCCAAAGACCTTGGTGGTAGGAGGCTCATTCCTGTGTTACAGGTCAGGGGCTTCGGTATGTATGTGGAGGCTGGCTCTGGCTTAGTCTGCTGGCCCCACACTGCATTCCTGGAGACGCGGGCACACTTAACCCCATCCAGGATTCATTTAATTCTGTGCAGTGAAGCTGTTAGTACTGTTCATAGAGGAGGACTCTGAAACACAGGAAGTAGGGAAGCCGGAACTCCCACTTAGGGGATCTGAAGCGAGGAGATGAACAGGAGTTGAGCCATTTCCAATCTTGGGTCTTGTCTTCCTACTTACGCATTTTCTTACAATATAACTTTTGTCTCGTGGGTTCTCTCACTGTTCTAGAAAGAGAACGGTGAATGCAAGGCGGAAGATTCGGTTTGTAGCTTGAGGTTTGCGTTCCTGAGTTTTTCCTACTGAAAATAACTGGAGTAATGAAAGGTCAGGAGTAGGGTACCTGGAACACGGGGCCTGTGTAAGCTGAGGTGGCACCGTTGCTGAGGAGAGGGGCATCCCTGTCAGCAACTTTGGAAGCACGAAGATTTCACAGAATCTTGAGAGCTATGTGTGAGGGGACGGCCCTTCACTGGTCTCCAAGCTGGATCCAGATTGAAAGGTGGAGGCCAGAGAAGTTTTGAGAGTGAGCACCAGGCAGGGACCTCCTTCCAAGAGCTCTGATCCATTCTGAGGGACGTTGGTATTCAGTCCTTTCCTCCTCGTTCCCTGTTTCCCCCTTGTCTCTTCTTTTATGCCCTCCTGCCATAGGAACAACCACGTATGTCATGCAAGTGTGGGGGTACCTTGAATTAGTCAGGGCTCTGTAAAGGGACAGAGCCAATAGAATGAGTGAGCGTGCGTGTGCGTGTGCGTGTGTGTGTGTCTGTCACTATGTGCGTCACTCTGTCTGTGTGTATACTCACACACGTATATAAAGGGGATTTCTTACAGTGGTTATGGCTGTGGTCCGGTGGTCTGACAATGCTGTCTCTGACAGAAAGGCCAAGAATCCGGTAGTTGTTCAGTCCATGAGATGGGATGTCTGTCAGCAGGCACAGTCTGTGCTGGAGTCTGGGAGGTGTTCAGTCTACATTGGAATCTGGCTGTAGCAACAGGCGAAAGTGAACTGGCCAGTGAGAGTGAGGGCAAGCAGGCACAATGTAAAGGCTTCCTTCTTTCCTGTCCTCTTATGTGGGCTGCTACGAGAAGATGACGCCCAGCTTTAGGGTGGGTCTTTCCACCTCAAACAAGCCTAGTAAGAAAAATCCCTCGCTGGTGTGCCCAGCAGCTTCTGATTTAGATGATTCCAGATACAGTCAAGTTGACATGCAAGATTAGCTACCATATACCTACATATAAAAACCTGAAACAGAAATCTCATGGAATATTACTTATTCTGTGTGATGTACTGAGAGTTTCCATTGCATTGACATTTTAAAATACTGTTAGGACTTACTTCATTAACTCAAGTCAAGACCCATTAATGAATTGTGACCCATAGTTTAAGACTGTACTGTTGGGCTAACATTGAGATGACTCAGTGCTTAAGACTTCCAGAGGGCCAGAGTTTGGTTCCCAGCACCCATGCCAGGGAGCTTACAGCTGCCTGTAACTCCAGCTCCAAGGATTCTGATGCCCTTTTCTGGCCTCCAGAGGCGCCCACACATGTGATATACATGCGCATCCGCACACACTCGTGCACATGCACACACACAAATAAAAATAATTCTTAAAAAGCAAATCATTAAATAAAATGAAGACATTGTCCAATGAGACTGCCCAGGCCATCTTGGTCTTAATTAAGTGCAGAAATAAAGGGATTGTGTTCCTCTCCTGATGGAGTGTTTTCCTTTTAACCATTTTATTCCCCAAACTTGGAAATTGCTTAAATCGCTTTTGGTAGTGATAAAGATCAAACCCAGGGCCTAGTGTATGCCAGACAGGTGTTCTCACCTGATTCCACTTTAAACAACAACAAAACCCACTCTTTAAAATTATTTTATTTATTTGTATTTTATGTGTATGAGTGTTTGTTTTGTTTGAATGTATAAAAATAAAACTAGAGTGATGGATAGCTGTGAGCCACCATGTGGGTGCTGGGAATCAAACCTGGATCCTCTGGAAGAGCAGCCAGTGTTCTTACCCTCTTAGCCATCTCTCCAGCCCCTCCACTTAAAAAATACTTTGTATAATTTTATTGATGAGAGGAGCATGTGTACAACAATGTTTGCATGGAGCTCCAAGGACAACGCCATGGGAGTCTTTTCCTCTCCTTTTACTGTGTGGATTTCAGGGACTGAACTCACTTTAGCAGTCACCTTTATTCACTGAGCCATCCCACTGGCCCCAGTTCTACATTTTTTAAAGATTTCTTTTTATTTTATGTATGACTGTTTTGCCTGCATGTGGGTGTGTGTACCACATGCATGCTTGGTGCCTAAGGAGGTCAGAGGAGGGCATCAGATCCCCTGGAACTGGAATTACAGATGATTGTGAGTCAGCATGTGGGTGCTGGAAACTGAACCTGGGTCCTCTGCAAGAGTAGCAAGTGCTCTTAACCACTAAGCCTTCTCTCCAGTCCATGATTCCACTTTTTAAAAGAAAAAAATTGCTAAGATTACCCTGTATCTCAGCTGTTTCTGGCTAAGGTTACATGAAAAGGAATCTTCTAGGAAACACAGTAGGCAGGAGTTACTATCAATTAAGAAGGAATGCCACCAGCTCCTGTCACCAGACACCTTGCTGGCTATCAGAAGCTGGTCAACTGTTCATACAGATGCCCATGAAACTATTTGCAGACATGCCTGTGTTACATTAAGAGCATTATTAAGCTTCTAGGCGGCTAGGTGTGTAGCTAGAGTTTTCCTGCCTTGCCCACAGTCAGGACAAATCTTTGTCACCCACCAGTCCCACAGCCGCTCAGACCCAACCAAGTAAACACAGAGACTTATATTGCATACAAACTGTATGGCCGTGGCAGGCTTCTTGCTAACTGTTCTTTTATCTTAAATTAATCCATTTCTATAAATCTATACCTTGCCATGTGGCTGGTGGCTTACCGGCGTCTTTGCATGCTGCTTGTCCTGGCGGTGGCTGCAGTGTCTCTCTGCCTCCGCCTTCTGCTTCCCAGAATTCTCCTCTCTCCTTGTCCCACCTACTTCCTCCCTGGCCACCTACTTCCTGCCTGGCCACTGGCCAATCAGTGTTTTATTTATTGACCAATCAGAACAATTTGACATACAGACCATTCCACAGCATAGGTGAAGTGTTTATAGGTAAGAAAAGTTAGACTTTCTCAGCGCTCTGTCCTGGGGCTGTCGATCTAACCAGTGGGGCTTTGTCATCCATAGTAGAGATGTGGTATCCCTAGGAGGGTGTGGAGTGTACCTCAGTACTTCTTTTTAGTTGTTGTGTGTGGTGATGCTAAAGATGCACCTAGTGGCTTACAAACATCAAATGTTCACTGTACCATTGAGGATTATACAACAAAGCACTTTGTGTCTTTGTAATAAGATCAAATGCTAATAAGTTTCCTGTAGTTTATTAAAACTGATTTTAAAATGACTTCTTTTGGAATCACAAGAAGGTACTTTCCCTATATAGTAAATTTTTTTTTGGAAAAAGCTACTATTTGTAAGCATGCAGGTTTCAGTCAGAACACTAGTAATAACTTAACAAATTGAATGTATTTGCTCTCAAGCTTGCTTGGGATGCCTTTCAAAGTCACTATAGTTCAGCATTAGAATGTGTCTTTTTAGAGGCTTAGCAACCAGCGTCAGAATAGTCTATAGAACACTTAAAATACTGAAAAGTGTGCATCCCTCCTAGATGTGGTGGTGGTTTTTTTTTGAGTACAGTTCACAGTGCTGTGGACTGTTAGGACAATGCTTCCAGGATGGCTCTGCCCCAGCTTAGAGACCTGGGCAGTGTGAATTATTACCGATGACATACACTGTGTCCACAGCTTCCTGGGCCAGCACAGTTTCCTACTAAGATGGATGGAGCAGGTTGTTGTCACCAGCCTTTACTTGAAAAGTGTTTCCGCTACATCAGGCATCCACACAGCCTTCACCCGTTATGAGTCTGACCAGTGCTAACATTTTGCAACATTGTATTCATCTCTCCTGCTTTTTTATTGTTTTTTTTTATTTTCTACTTCTCTTTATCCACTTCGTTCTCTGCCTCCAACCCATTCTCCCTCCCCCCTCTTCCTCCCTCCCTCCCTCCCTCCCTCCCTCCCCACTCTCTCTCCCTCTTAAAGATTCCAGGCCAGTTTAACAGAGTATCCCATATAAAAACTAAATTGTCATAACTGCTTGAAATAGTCTTCCAAGTCAGCCTTAAGTTTTCGGAACAAGTTGAGAGTGTGTGTGTTCGCTGTCTGTCTTCTAGAGTATGGTCTCCGGCTGGGGAGTCAGATCTTCATCAAGGAAATGACCAGAACAGGACTGGCAACCAAAGATGGCAACCTTCACGAGGGGGATATAATTCTCAAGGTGAGAAGACAAGGTTGGGGAGCCGCGTGTGCCTGCATGCATCCTAGTCTGCGCTCTCACATCCACACCACGGGACGGACTATCTGAGTCCCAGTGGCCAGGAGTAGGGGAGAGACAGGGGGAGCAGTGTGATGAGGTGGTCTTTGTCCAAAGAACAAAAATAAACTAGTGATGTGGCTCGGGAGCCCTGCTCCCTCTCTAACCCACCCCCCAAAAGTAGTTTAAAAGGGAAAACCAGCCTTAGAGGCTATACTAATTTAATAACCAAGAGAAAGCCTTAGGGGGCACGTTTTCCTTCTCCCTGTTGATTTACAGTTTAGGATCCTGTACCAAGGGAAGGGGAGCCTGGGAACCACTGATCTGTGCTTACTGAATGCTTGGGAGTTTTTTAAAAACCTCTCCAATCAGGAAGCATGTTACAGCTGTAAACCGAGCTGTCGTCTCGAATTGGAAGTTAAGTAGACGAGCAGAGTAAACTAACTGTACTCTGACTCTTCTGTGCCAGCTCGGGGCGTGTGCCGTCACATTTCATTTAAAGGATAATTCGTTTTCATTCAGTCATCCTGAAGTCTTTATCCGAGTATCTCAGCAAATTCTTTCCAGTTCTGTAAAGGAGAATAGGTATTTTTTGTTTTGTTTTTCACGTAGCTGTGAATAGTTGTCCTGAATAACATGGCCTTTCTCCCTATACACAGATCAATGGGACTGTTACTGAGAACATGTCTTTAACGGACGCTCGGAAGCTAATAGAAAAATCTAGGGGGAAACTGCAGCTTGTGGTGCTGAGAGACAGCAGGCAGACCCTCATCAATGTCCCCTCCCTCAATGACAGTGACTCAGAAGTAGAAGGTAAGAAGGGGGCCTGTGTGCTCTCTGGGTGTCAGGAGGGCCACGCCTGAAGGCAGCCCTGGGCTGGAGGGGCAAAGAAGGCTGCATTTAAACTTTGATTAAAAAAGAGAGGTATTCCTGGCTTGTTTGTTTGTTTGTTTATTAAAGTGTCTTTCGAAAGTAGATTTCTAGTAGGGAATTCTGGTGAAGGCCTCTTCATTAGGCCGCTGAGAACAGAACTTACTAATAACATTATCATAATATGCCAAGTGCTCATGCAGACACTATTCAAGTGTAGACTCTTGTGCTTTAAAAATGACAAAAGCCAGGCATGGTAGTTAGCTTTAATTCCTTTCTCAGGAGGCAGAGCCATGGCCAGACTGGTTTACCTAGCAAGTTCCAGACCAGCCCTCAAAGAAAGAAAGAAAAAGAAACCAAACAGCAAGAAAAACCCATGCTCCTGGGTGTGTCTTCCTTTCTTCCTGAGCTTATTCTTTCTCTTAACTCTAGTGCTTAAAACCTGTGTGTGTTAAAATCTATTCATAAATTCCAAATCTGCTTAAGGAAAACAAGGCTGTTAGTATCTCCACCTTCAGAAGGTGGTGTGAAACATGTACGTTACTGAACCATCAGTCAGAACGGCTCAATGTTACGGTACATGTTGCTTGCTAACATATGCCCCTGGTCCTGCTTGTTGTCACTGTTTTAAACTTGGATAAATGCATTTATTCCAGTTTCACACGTTATTTGCAAAAGAAGGAATCAAGTGCAGTAACTGCCTCTTTAATACTAATAAACCCTGCAACTGCAGGGACCAGCTCTGCGAGTTCCTTCCTTCTCAGAGCAGGTATGGAGTCTTAGAACTGCAGAGTAAAGATTGCTGCCTTCCCTTCCAGGGATGTTTTAGAAAAGTCACATGATTAGGACTGCAGGAAAAGGGTTGCTAATACTCCCTCACAGGCATAGCCTAAAAACAATGTCAACTAGAAGATGGCGTCTTGTAAGACTTCCAGACTGGGGATGTAGCTCAGGAGAAGGCCTCCATGTGCATGCTTCCTGAGGCATGATTCCATCCCAGACCCAGTTGGCTTTTCCACCGGTCCCTTGTTCAAACTACAGGGTGAAAATAGCATTGTGGGCTGGCGAGATGATTCAGCAGGTAAAGGTGTTTCCCTGAGATTGCTAGTGTGAACAACATGCTTGGTTTTGAAAGTTACTTTCATTTCCGGTATATCAGAAGTCTAATCAATTCATCTGGACTGAGCATAGTACAGGAAAGCAAAGAGATCATGGCAGCCAACTGTAGTCGTTTACAGTTTATTTCCTTACTGTTCATCATGGGATCCTCTGTACGGCATTGCTGTCAGGGACCTTGATTCCAACAAGATCCCTAATGCTTTGAATATACATTAAAAGATGAGGTGCACTGCTTTGCCTGGCAGTTGTGGTTTCTCTAACCTCGGATTCAGGAGATCATGGGTTGAAAATATGTGAGGAAAAGAGTCTAGAAAGTTAAGGTTTCTTTTTCTTGTTATTCTATCAACAGTACAGAGTGACCACTGTTGATATGGCATTGACAGGATGTTATGGATTGTAGATGAAATAGGCAGAGAATGTGGATAGGCTGCATGCTGACATCTGGCATCTTACACAAGGGACTTTTAATCATCTGCCGAGTTTCGTTGGGGAAATGGTTCTGGAATTAGTTTCTACATACAGTAGATGCAGAGGGAGTCTCCACTGTAGCTGGATTGTGGACCCCTTAAAACAGCTCTGGAAGCAAGTGGGATGAGAGAAGTGTACCATCTGAATTAAACCTCTTCATTAAATAATGTCTCTCTGAGAATTTCTTTTTCTCCCTTAGTAAAAACAAAAACCTGCTAAACTGATGGCCTTCCCTCATGCTTCCTGCTCAGAGACTAGTGTAATTTTGGGCATGTAGGTATTTTACTGAAAAGGACTTTTCTTATTTTGAAACCAGATATCTCAGAAATAGAGTCCAACCGATCTTTCTCTCCAGAGGAGAAGCGCCAGCAGTATTCTGATCAGGATTTTCATTCCTCCAGCGAGAAGCTGAAGGAGAGGCCGAGGTAAGGCAGTGTGGTCTTTCGTTTCTCTTAGTCGCTGGTGAATGCACTTGAGTGTGTATTGTACATGTGTTATCTACTGAGACATGATCTGTAGTAGAATATTATTTTATGTTGTGTTACTTTGGTTTATGTTACATTTGTTTAATATGTTTCATATGTGAAGCTGTGTAAAACACCTGATGGTCTAATAAAGAACTGGCCCGTAGCAGGGCAGGAGAAAGGATCTGTGGGGCTGGCAGGCAGAGAATATATAGAGGGAGAAGTCTGGAAGAAGAAGAAGAAAATAAGAGGTGGGGGAGTGAAAAGAAGAAGTAGCCAGAGATGGAGGAGGACTCCAGGGGCCAGCCACCCAGCTATCCGGCAAGCCATGGAGCAAGAGTAAGATTTATAGAAGTGAGAACAGGAGGGGTTGGGGATTTAGCTCAGTGGTAGAGCGCTTGCCTAGCAAGTGCAAGGTCCTGGGTTCAGTCCTCAGCTCTGAAAAAAAAAAAAGAACAGGAAAAGCCCAGAAATAATTTAAGAAAAGCTGCCAAGAAACAAACAAGCTAAGGCTGGGCATTTATAAAGCTTCCAGAACTGGAGAGATGACTCAGTGGTTAAGAGCACTGGCTGCTCTTCCAGAGGTCCTGAGTTCAATTCCCAGCAACCACATGGTGGCTCACAACCATCTCTAGTGGGATCTGATACCCTCTTCTGGAATAAAGTTGTACATGCAGATAGAGCACTCATTCTTTAAGAAAAAGAAAAAGGAATAATCCTCCCTGTGTGATTTATTTGGGAGCTGTGTGGCAGCCCCCCCCCAAAAAAAAAAGAGTAGAAAAACCCCAACAACAATGATCATGGTATGTGCTTCAGTTCAAGAGAGGAAACCTCAGGCAGACTGTCCAGGATGGGTGCCACACCCACTCCATTTAAGTCAACAGGGGACATCACAGCTGCAGGTGTTGCCGAGGCCAACAAGGAGCCCAGGCACCAGGAAGAAACCCCAGGTAAGGTTTTAAGGGTGTGTGTGTGTGTGTGTGTGTGTGTGTGTGTGTGTGTGTGTGTGTGTTATACACAAGCTAGTTCATGTTAAGCCTGTGCACTGAGTTCCACTGCTTTAAAGAATTGAGTTCAGCCGGGCGGTGGTGGCGCACGCCTGTAATCCCAGCACTCGGGAGGCAGAGGCAGGCGGATCTCTGTGAGTTCTAGGCCAGCCTGGTCTACAAAATGAGATCCAGGAAAGGCGCAAAGCTACACAGAGAAACCCTGTCTCGAAAAAACAAACAAACAAACAAACAAACAAACAAACAAACAAAAAAAAAGAATTGAGTTCAGAAATATGTGCTTGGTATTTCCAGAATGTGGATGAAAGAAAGCAAAATTATTTGTAAAGTAGAAGGGGGCCTCTTTATTTTTCTCTTTTCATGTGGGAGGTACCCTTTTTACTATCATTGGAACTGGTCACATTTTGACATATTTGAGTTATAGTCCTTTTGCCCTGTCCACAAACCCAGCATCATCACCCTACTCCTTACCACTCTGAAATTATCATCAGAGCTCTGGGTACATAAGCATTCCTATGTGGGCAAACATGGTCTTGTTCTCAGGCCGTAAAAGGTGCTGCCATGTACCTGTGTACCTTGTGTTTTGGGTGTTTTTGGTTTTTTTTCTCTGAATTGGAGAAACCATGATGACTGCTAATGTCTTAAAGTTAAGCTTCATCTTTAAGTCTTTCTCTCTCTCTCTCTCTTTTTTATAGAGAAATAAAAATGAAGACAGCTTAAGAAAGGGGAAGCCCTTGGGAATGGGAGTGGGCTAGTGAGCAGGGAAAGGTGTGTGCTGTTGTTTGATGGGATAGTGCAAGCGTGGCATAAGACACACTTGAAGCCTGTGGATTTTGCTCTCTTTATGTTAAGAAAGAAGCTCCTGCAGGTCTGGATGATAAGGAAAAAGGGTTTTGTCTTGTTTTGTTGTGATTTGTTTTCATGGTGTGGGGCTTGAATCCACAGCCTCCTGCATGTGTGGCAAAGTTACACACTTAAGCTCCACCCCTTCAGTCCACACTAAAGTTTTAAAATCCATAGTGCCCGGGGACGGGAGAGATGGCTCGAAGGTTAAGAGTTTTCCGTCAGCCTTATGGGAGCTCACAACCCTCTGAAACCCTATTTTCAGGGGATCTGATGCCCTCTTCTGGCCTCCACACTAGGCATTCACATGGTGCATATATATGTATGTAAAGAAAAAAAAATCTCTCGTATGCGTAAAATAAAACCAAATAAAATCTTTAAATTCACAGTTCCTCAACCCAGAGCAGCCCCAAGAACTTTCCTTCGTCCTAGTCCTGAAGACGAAGCAATCTATGGGTATGCACTTCCGTTCCTCGTCTCTCCCCATCCACTCTCCTTCCTTCCGTAGCTGAAATCCACAGCAGTGGTGCTTTTCCTGTCCTACCCCGATGCTGAGTTTGCCTCTCCTCAGCCGCCTTTTGTCAACTCTCATTCCCGACGTTTGTAAGAAAGAGGAATCATTTATGAGAGGAGCAGAATTTGGGATTGGGTGAACCCTGTGGCTTTGGTATCTGTTTACTTACCGTCTACCTCTCCTGAGTGTTTTTCTGAGTACTTGCTTTGGTCAGATGCTTAACTCCCGAAGAGGAGAAGCAGCTCCGACTGCAGTGCTCCCATAGAGGCTGCAGGGGTGTGCTGGGGAGGGAGAAGGGGTGATGTTGTCTAGACAGCGGCTGTCGGGTTAGGACCAGCTTCCTTGAATCTGTCTACATTTGACTAAATGTTTGATGGAATAGACTTGGGAGGACATCCTCCTCTTAGGAAGCTGGAGTCAATCACCAGTTCCATCCTCTCATCTTAGACGAGCTCATATGGTAAATTCTGTATTTTTGCTCCTTTGTGGGCTGATAGACATTTCTAAATTTCATCTATTTTTTCCAGAACCTTAGGTGAAATAAATGCAATTATTCAGCTTAGTACATTTTAGTTACCAAGGGCTATTACCTTTGTCGCCGATTTGAAAGCCACCCCAAAAAGAACACCTCTCAGTTACTTAGCTTTTCAATTGAAAAACTTACAATATATAAACTTGCATATGGTGCCAGGGATATAAAATGATAGGACAAATGAGAAAATTGAGAGGGAACTTTTATAAACTGTGATATCCCTTCTGAGCTGGAAAATAGTTACATCTTTAATACCTTGATGTGAGCCCTCCATTTTAAATATTATCTTTCCTTTCTGAAATCAAACCTACGGCAGCCCGAATACCAAAATGGTGAGGTTCAAGAAGGGAGAGAGTGTGGGCCTCCGGCTGGCTGGCGGAAATGACGTCGGGATATTTGTCGCTGGCATTCAGGAGGGCACCTCTGCGGAGCAGGAGGGCCTGCAAGAAGGAGACCAGATTCTGAAGGTAGGGAAGCCTGCCTTCTACCGGTCCCTTGGGAAGTTGCTTTGCTTGACGTTTTTCAGCGATGACCGAGTTCTGAGAAGAATGCTTTCCTGGTTGCTGTAATAGTTTGGCATGCTGGGAGCCATCATTGGGATTCTTTCTTTCTTTCTTTCTTTCTTTCTTTCTTTCTTTCTTTCTTTCTTTCTTTCTTTCTTTCTTTCTTTCTTTCTTTCTTTCTTTCT